TGACACAGTAACCAAAAATAATATTTTAATATGGTTGCATAAATTCACGAAAGCATAAGAGAAATTAATAAGTGAGGCTGCTAACAGGTTTGAAGGCATGGACGCGATGAGTTGGCAGTTTACTTTGCATGTTAGAATAGGTGTTCAAACCCCCCACGCGCGGTGTACGTCTTTCCATATTAGCTGCTATGTTAGCATATTAACTGCAAATCAGCATGTAATCAAACAGGCAAAAAGCGAAAGGGTTTCTGGTGAAGACGGTACTACAGTGGAATTCATGAAATCAGGCGGAGAAGCTCTGACCAAGATATTAGAGCGCTTGTTTTCACACAGTCTGAACGACCTGAAAATTCTAGACCATTAGACTACTACATCGGTGATTCTACTCTACAAAGAACGACCGGCTGATCGGTTTGCTGCAAATCGTCTGCAAGGTCTTCACAAAGGTGCTGATGAATGGACTTTACGAAAAACTGCACGGTGCATAGGCAAAGAACGCAGCAGGCTTAAGAAGTAGATTTAATACGAGGTATCATCTCCATGTAGTACAACAAGTAATTCAGAAAAACAACTAATATCAGCTTCCTCCCTGACTGGGTTTGCGTCGATTTCGAGAAGGCTTTGGACTGAGTGTAACTCGTTCTGTTCTGAATTCTGTGAGGAATCAAGAAATCATGAAAAGATACATGAATCGCCATGGCTTGCAAGAATGAAACTGGCAATGTGAAAATGCACGAAATCGAACGGGCATGTGACAAGGAGGTAGAATATCACAAAATTTATTTACAGCAGCCCTAGAAGAGGTTTTCAAGACAATCGTTGACAAAACCTAAAACTGTGCATTATATAAGCCATCTTCGGTTTGTGAATAGTATTTTGATCACCTTAGGATCATCAGAATAACCCAAAAGGAGAATCCAAGTGCTGAACGATGTCATAATTGAAATTGGATTGAAAATTGGCCTCGAAAAGTTCTGAATAAATACGCGACCCAAGATCCTCTTGAGGATTAGTCAACGGATTGAGGCGTGAAGAGCTGCAAAACCTCGCTGATTTGCGACAGATCGTCTATGCAAAGGAAAATCGACAACATGAAATGACCAGCAGAGTTAAAATAGCATGAAGCACTTTATGAAGATTGAAAATGTTTATTTCCGGCTAACTTCTCTTGTTTCCTTATACCGGAAAGTTTTCCATAAGAGAGCGCGTCGGTGCTAATCTATGGGTGCAAAACGTTGACCCTGAAAACGTCATTCAAAAACGACACACCGCCTAGGAAATACAGAAATATGCATGTTGGGAATAACAAGAAAAGATAGGGTGATGAAGGAGTTGGTAAGAGCACAAATAAGAGCTTGCGATATCATCGCCTGACCGAAATAGTTAAATGCCCAACGGGCAACATACACTATAACTAGAGCCAGCCATAGCTGGACCATAGAGACATTACACTTAGAGGAAAGAGAAAGTAAACGGGCCGTAGAAAGACTATCATATCGATAGCAGAGCGAGTTGAATAAGTTCACTGTTAGCAGGATCAACATGGATACTATGGCAAAACTTCTGAGAACTGTTCATACACAGGAGATCGAAAAGTTTCATGGTGATCAACAGAGATATATTCCATTGACATAGAATTCATCCCCCCCCCCTTTGTGCTACGGTGCAACCAGCAAAAACCGATGACGGGCCGTTGACCTGCGGATAATAAGACACCCTGGTATAATGGCGTAGCCATACCAAAGCATACAAGATATATGGCCATGCTCTCTGACCGGTGGGTTCTGCGGCTGCGATTCGTCTTGACCCGCCTGACAGCTGAATAGAATAACAGCATAGTGTGTAAGCCTGAAGCTTATTTAATTAAACAGAACATTTTTTTAAATTTATTTTCTCGTCAGTGTTTGTTATACCTCTAAATGTACTTAGCATGAGCTCCAGAAAAATTTTACATGACATTGAATCATTTGCCTTAAATTAAGGTTTATTAAAATTGCTCCATTTAATGAAATATTTTTTCTGCTTAGAATGGAATCAGCAGTGAATCACTTTTGATTCGACATAAAATTTCATGCGAATCTGACACGTGCAAGATAATGGGATATTGTGCGTTGCGGTTTTGCATGTTGAGATTTGGGTGCGATGGTTGACATGGGGATTTAACTTAAGATGAATTTCAAACTTTATGACATTCGTTATGGAATGAAATAAAAGTGGAAAACAGATCTATTAAGGCCTACAACAGATTTACAAGATCCGTTACGTTCTACCTGATATGCAAAAGCAGTTCAAACGAATCCCAACCCTCGAGTCAACAATGAACTTTCTTTAACCATATCCTTTGGCAATGAGTGGTTCTCCTCTTTAATTATCATGTTTGTGAAAGGAGCCGTACTGAGAACTATAGAATTATAATATCAGTAAGTGATGAACCAATATCCTGGAAACGGATATGATATCATGATGTCATTTGACTGCTATAATCTGTGAAATCTCCTAGTCTTGAAGCCCTGAACAAAGGGATACTAAGCAAGCAGTCATCATCAGAATAATGCATCTTCATACAGACTACCAAAAAAAATGCCCTTCGCAACCGATGACGCCCAAAGCGCACCAAGACGTTCTCGCAGCTTTCATACAACTTGTTTCGTTTTTCCTTTCTCAGTTAGCTTGACTTGGTAAACATAACTAGACGACACTGGACACTGATCACCTGATGTACAACTTTACAATTCCTCTTCGAGGTATTTACTACCTCGTTTGAGAGACTCGGCATTTTCGGGCTGGTTTCAGGTATATTGATACGTTTCTTTCCACATGTTTCGATTAATCACTGGCGCGAGAAGGTGCTCCTCTAAAGGAAGTAAAGAAAGAAATTTTGCAAAGATTGAAATGCCGGACTTCGTTATATTTGCATCATGGCACCCTGGTGCTCTTCGTTTCGTAGAGCTAATGGCGGGAACGCTGATTTTTATTTCCATGCCATCAGCCAAAGTTGCCTCATTTTACAAGCAGAGTCTATAGCAGCTATGTAGCTAACCAACGTGTAATGTGGTGTTTTCTTTCCACAGGGCGGTACTCCTTTATCAACCTCAAAAGGAAGAAGGACGAATGACCAAGACTGGGAATCGAACCCGAGACCTTTCAGATCCTATCCCGACGCTCTACCATATCAGCTGCCCAGGTCTGCGGCAACTCATGGTTAAGGTTAAGAATGCTGTCCGCCGGATTAGACTCGGAGTAGCTCCGGAATTCGAAGCCGACCTCTTGCGCAATGAGCCATCTCGTCAGA